CTTTAATCATGTTTCATTTACTCTGAACTTCAATTTCGATGTTTAAAAAGGTATTTTGAAAGGTAATTGTTGTTGGTTTTGTCATTGGTTTGTTTGTTATTTTTGTTTATACTTACGCCAGTTTATACATTCACGAGCAAAAACTGTGAGGCCATTTTCAATGTTGCATTGATGTGTGCAAAAAACATGATCAAAACTTTCAATGCATTGCTTTTCAGAATTCCTTTTTGTTAATAACATTGAGAAAATGAGCAACATTTCTCTGTGAAAAGGAATTTTGCTAAAGATCGGATATCAGAGGTATTTGTCATATGCAACATGTGCCTGAGGCAGGCATATTTTATTTTGACCAAAATCCAGAAGCTTTCGCGTATTGAACACGATATGCACTTTTTATAGGAGCAACATGATAAAGCTTATGTACATGTCCAATACCCATACCCATGATCGCTGTCACAGGCATTTGGTCAGGAAATCACGCAATTTATCAAAGACGTGGCTTTACTCGGTCTTCCCTGTCTTCTTGTAAATCCTTTTATAACTAACGTCACTGATGAATAATACGATTCTCTTAAGTCATGATATGGCGGGTAAGCTCGCAATCTGTGAATGTGATTTTCCATAGTCAAAACACTGCTGGCCTACTTCGACACGTGTCATCACACAGGCAGCTGTCTCTAAGATATCGGAATTAGAGCACGTCCCGAGGATAGAAAACCAACTTGTTTATTTATCCACGAACAGAACACAAGTCCTGGAGAATTATGGAAGAATGTCTCTTGCCCGGTGAATATCTCAGCTAATGTGTAGGGCTTTGGTCTCCTCGATATGGAATTACCAGTGCGCAAATGTCAGACGATTGATTTATATGGAGGATGCCTTGACACCATTCAAAGTCACCTTGCATTGACTGAGCATCACTGAAAATATCCTCGTCTCTGTCACTGACAAGTTCAAATAGGAAAACTAAATGCTTTCGCCAGGTACGGATTCCCAGGGTGGACGCCCCCCACCCACCCACACACACACCGCTCTCATAGCAAAAAGAAACACTGAAATAACTATTATTGTAACAAATGATATTCCGTAAAGTGTTATTATGCACGGTGAGCGTTTTGAATAGCTGGTTTGATGTGTTTTTAAAAGTATCAGTAAAAATGTACTGCATTTTTAAATCAAACTAATTAGTTCATGTTATTATCTACCGGTGTGTCTCCTCTTGTTACCTACCAAAACCTGACATAAAAAAGCTGACAAGCCTGACCCCCTCCCTGAAAAATTTCTTGGATCTGCCCCTGCTCATCGTGTAAATAAATAAATAAATAAATAATAGAACAGTTCTTGCATAAATGATAATTACTAAAAAATAATTGCGAATGAGATTACTGTCAGGCAACAATATTTTTTCCTTTCTTGTGGGAATTAAAGGGACATCCAGCGCCATTTTGCTTTCCTAATCTGGGTCATTTTTCGTGGTGTAATTCTCGACGGTAGACGCTCAGAAATCTTATTAGACTTTTGTCTGGATTTTTTGGTTGTCCATTACGGGTCAGAGATTGCCACGGTCATGAGAATTGCCACTCTTAATTTGTCTGATCGCTAATCAGATTTGTTAAATGACCTAGTCGCAAGCAATGTTTCTCTTCGATTTCATTCCAATGGTATTCAATTCAGTATTTGACTCTTGCAATAATGTTGTCAACCTACATTGGTACGATCAGAAATTTGGTTAATATCAAATATTTAGGTGAGCGAGTTGAAATTTGGCAATGCTTCCAGACCAGTCTAGGTTCAATAATTGTTGATAAAATATCATTTATTCCCATACATAACAGCGTCGGATTCATCCTACATTGATGTATATTTATTATTTTCTTTGTGCTTTTTACGGAACATTTTTGTGCTTTATGCTGACATTGCAATGGAATATTTTGGCTCAGCTACTCCTTAGTTGGCCGTGTGAAGTCACATTTGTGAAACGTGCCCAGTGGCTTGATTCTTGCTTAAAGATACTTGATAGCGCTGGGAAATACAAAATGGCCACAGTTTATGACTACAAACGCCTCTTGGCGGCATCTGTGGGTACAGAAGGTGATGATGCGTAAATGTCGGCTGAGCGTGTACCCAAACCAGGCGCGGTATATTCTTTGATTATGACCAGTTCACGTATGTTTCACCCCCATTCAACGTGTGGAAATTAAAGGAACCAGGAAATGAATTTTTCTTAGAATCACTTTTTGTGTATCTCTGTACTCTTATTCCATGCATGAAGTCTGTTTGACATCTTTTTTGAGTTACGTGAACTGAATTGTGCACTTTTTCAAACTTTAAAAATTGACCAAGCATTTCTGGACAACCGAGGGCGCTTTTGCTTTGATGTAAATCCAGGAAGACATGGTTCAGGTTGTATGTTTTCATGTTCAAATTGTGAATCCCAAATTTGCTATCTGGGAACATTTCTGTGAAAAGGATTTTTGCTGGATTATTGCCATATACTTACATAGCAATGAATTGCCAAAGAAAATAAAATCTGCCATAGCAGTGGTTAAAAGAATCTGAAAGAATTTTCTGTGCACAAATCAGTGCAACATTGAGATTCAGAGCCTTGGATGACATCATAGTTCTGCTCGTGAATATGTAAATTGCATTGCCATAGAACAAAAAACATCAAAATATGGGTTAAAATTGCAAAACAAAAATTTAAAATCAGGTTAATTGAATCCCAAAGATGCAATTCAAGGGTTTTTAGTAAAATTTATAAAAATATTTATATTTCCTGGTTACTTTAACGACTTCGACAGTGCACGGCGTGAACCATACGGAAATGTCCTTAGCAACTTGCCAATCCTCTGTTGAGCCTTCTCGATTTGAAGATTTCTTTTGCACAAATTAAAAAACGATCACATTGAAACTCTTAGTATGTGCTCTCGAAGGCTTAAACCGAATAAAACAATACAGAATCATGAAAGAAATGCTACATAAATATGAAATTTAGCCTCAAAGTGGTTGCTAAGATAATAAATAAATTCCATTTTCAACCGATCACGTGGTCTTTTTTTCACTAAACTTTTAAATTTTAGAAGTTTTTCCAGAACAGTGAGACATTGCATACGACAGACCAGAATCTCAATTTCACAATACAATCAGCTCTATGTAGCTAGATTTGTTTTGTTCGACTTTTACGAGTTATACTTGATACTTCTTCGCAGCGCGATCTACGTGTTTTACATGCTCAAAACCAATCCAGCTACGTACCGTACACGTTACCGGGTACAGTGTGGCCTGTTACAAGCGTACCGCGGCGTAAATCTGTACGTATAAGGTGCATGAAAATTTCGACGGGGCCGGTGTACGTGTGGTTCGTGCGTGCACAGTACATGTAAAGCTGGGGATATATACCGTGAATTTCAAGATTTTCCTGGCAATTTTAAAATGACAGATTAATCTTCATGTTAACGTACTGTATTTTTCGTCTTTTGTTCCCAAGTCACTGAATTCTTACGCTCGCAAGGCCGACGGTAAGATTATGCTGGATGAACGGAATTGGTGCTGAGGTGCTGGTCGCAATGCAAACGCATCCGGTCGGTAAGAGAAAAAATCTAGCACAAAACCGTCAGCAAATCTAAACCTTCACACCTTTCTTCACCCCAGCCCACTTTTGAAAACCTCAGGAAAACTTCGAATTCTTTTGTTTCGAGCCTTCAAAAATCGCATCAAAACTTTAAAAAACTGCCGCTTACGAAAAGAGCTTTTCACAAATATAGTTTTGATCACTCTGCTACCATTTTTTCAATTTTTTTCACAAAACACGTCAGGAAAAGACCTTATCTTACCATGAAATAGTTGGGGAGGAATTTTATTTCCAAAAATTTCATAATTTCCATAAAATGAACCAGCTGTTTGCCTGGCACGAATTCCCAAGTCGCTCATTATGCATGCAAATGACCCTAAAAAGGGGACATGCGCAGTTCGTAATTTCCCTCTGAATTATACGTGAGTTGTGTGTGTAAACACAATGAACGTATTTGAGCCAAGTCCGATGTCTCCGTAGTACCTCCTGGTGAGTTGACCAATGTTATATAGCAATGCAATTAACAGAGTTCTTCTATCAATCACCATTGAAATAAAAGTGTTGAATTTCTGCCCTAGCTATAGTGAAACAATAATTTTATGATAAAAATCCAGCTGCATGTGAAATTGGACCGGGGTTACACATCGGTGATTGGTGCCAAATTATACTCCCTAGAGAATATGGTCGCCAAAACCAGCCATCATTTTAGGCAACATTCTTTTCAAATACAAAACTAAAAAGGTTGGGTTGACGGCCACAATACAATTATAAAGACTCGAGCAAAGGCAGCCACAACTATCGGAATTCTGCGTGCACCTCGGGCCAATATCGTAGGGCTGCTTAAGCACAAAATTTGCTTAAGCGTGAAAAACCTTGCTTAAAAAAACAAAGGTTACCAGTTCAGACTCTATGTGATTGTCATGATAACCAAAAGACAGAAATACGATCCCAAAACAATATACACCACATGGAGTTTTGGCTAGTTACCTGATTTATCAAGCAAGGAAATTTTGTGCGTAAGCAGCTCTATGAAATAGGCCCCTGCTGCAGCTTGTCCACTGTATCATCTGTAAAGAGCTCCACTAGTTTGCTGTTTTTGTTGTAACTGACCCGTCTTATTTCGGGGGAATACACTATACTTATAGGCGGAAACAAACCGTGTAGATTCCTGGAAATGTTTTTGCAGTCTCGCTCCTCGTCAGTTTAATGGGGGCATTTTCTGTCATGCGTGGAGCCAACAAGGTATCTAGGAAATGTGACTTGCCAGTAAACAGCAAGCGTGTACCGTACCCAGGGCGTGCCCGAGGATCTGGAACTAGAGCATCCATCCATCCAATGAATATAGGAGTGAATACTAATTACGACGTCATCACTAGTGCGCATGAACACGCAGGCGTGGAAGGTCTGATTTATTCATTTCTGCGCGGCGGTGCGCGCCACGTGAATGGAGCTTGCTGTTACAAAGATCTGCATGGGTGCCAATCACAAAATCCAATGCCAGTTCATGGCGACGGTATGATGACACCTCACAAGTTGCGGGAGAGCTCAGACGCTTGGATGATCTTGGCGAGGGGCCACGCACATTGCCTGCTGTCTGAAGACTTGTTGAAAAAGTGACGGGGCATGTGATACTGAGTGGTATCATGTTGTGAACCAACAGCACATTTGCTCAGCGTGATACAGACATTGGTATTTCCATAGTGCAAGGAATCCCAGCGCACTTTTCGTTTCATTTCCTGTTTATCCTTCTGAACTATTACTTTCGTTACCAAATTATAGATGAAGTGTTCGACTGTCTAGGTACACCAGTAACAAACTTGATTACGTTGATCATCATGGACTTCTTTACGAGGCATTGTCCATTGTCTGATTAGCCAGCGAATTAACGTCGCGTGAGCTGAAGGGATTTGCAGAGCAGGTAAGAGAATAATTACGTCGTGATTAGTCCCCACCAATTTAAATAAAGACAGGGATGCAGGCTGTAGTGCGTGAACAATATACACAAAAAACTTATTGTGTGGTAAATATTTGGTCATCATGTCTGCGAGTAATATCTCATTACGTAGAGGATTTCATGATTGAAACTATAGCCAGGGAACATAAGTCCTTTTCTAATTAGCAACGAGGAAGATCTGATTAGTTCAGACCAAAATTCATTGGTGCAATATTGATACAGCGGTCGATCAATACAAAGTGCATTGCTACCAAGTACCATGACGTGTTTCTAGTGTTCTGCGTGAAAAGGAAGTGTTGTTTCAACACCGGAATTCAACATCGGAGTTGAGTAGTTTATTTTTGTTCAAGGGCAAAACGTGAAAACTACAGGAGTCCGCTGTGGGAGTCGTGAAATTGCCAGTTAGGACAGGATAATTCATCAGTGTGTTCTGGATAGACTTGATTGGCAGCTGATGAGAAACATGAGGTGAGAACGAGAAGGAGAAGGGATGTAGATGTACATCATAAGGGTGGAACTGGACATCAGGCAGCGCATGCTCAATAAATCCTTTACAAACAATTGGTGCGTTTTTGCCTTCGTAAAGGAGGCTCATATTCCAACCCAAAATTGTTTTAATGAGCTTAAGTTTTGTTCTTATTGTTAAAGCGCGATATGGAATCTAACTTGTTTCACAAAACGCGATATGTCGGGAACAGGTTAAAAGGAGACAAGAAAAATAAGAAACTTCAGATTCAACTCGTTATATTCGGGACAGGTTTGTTTGTCAGTCAGCCTTGATAGAATTGTCTGTCTTTCAGTTTTGACAAACTGTCTTTGTTATTCATTTCATCGTCATGGTTAGTTACTTCTTTATTTTAAATTCAAATTTAAAACAATCATTACCCATCACATTGCTTGTGATTAATTCTTCTGCGAGGTGGACAGACACTTTATCAAACCCAAAGTAAAAACGTTCAGGAGGTTTAATATACAAATAGGCTATGGTGTTTCCTGACGAAACCGATCGAAGACAGTTGTAGAGTCTATGTTCTCGCAGCACTGTGCATTCTAAATTTCTATGCCAAAAGAGGGTTGAGCGTCTAGTTTTCTTTCATTTGACGGGGATCCATCAACCAAACGTCAACCTGTGTCGTCTTGGCGTGAGTTTTGCTACTCAAGACTAGACCCTGAAAAGTCCATGCAAGATTGATTTTAAAATAAAATCCATACCACCAATACATAGACTGTTAGTAGAGTGCCTCGTATACGACTCGTTCAGCTAAAAACAACGAATTCATCGAAACACGATTATAAGCGAAGGATTTAAAAAGGTCAAATCTCTCCACTTAATGGTTTGTGCACCCAGAATCCCAGATCAATATTTTTCATCACTTATAAGTTGTGCCCATCAATATAAATTCATAATGACGTAGTAAAATAACTTGGGGCTCTATAAGGGGCGGAATTTTAACCAATGTGTGAAGAACTTGAGCCAGTACCATAGGTATAGAAATTGATTGTTTTAATGTTAGGTGATATCATAACAGCACCGTACATATATTTACTCTGTATTTCTCAGTGTGGTCCGAAAATAAATCAAGAGTTTGTTCATAAATAACAGCAAACCCTGTGGTAAGAAAGATGGACACCCAGACGTAAAGCCAAGTAAATATGATTGACTATTAGCGGTACCTTAAGCCATGCCACCCGATGGCGGCAAACTCGGCAAACTCGAGTGGTTAAAGACATCTGTACTTGTCAGTAAGCAGGAAGTCGTGGCTTCGAATCCCACCTGAGCAAGGCCGGTTATTTGTTGTCGCAACTGTCAGACCACATAGGGAAACCATTATATAAGTTCGCGTAAAAGGTAAAAAACGCTAGTGTAAAATTATTAACATCCCCAATGCAAGCCAGTTAACACCAAGAAATCGAATTTGTACATGTATACTTTTTCAGCCTATTTAAAAAAAATTAAAACAAATTATATAGGGAAACTCACAAGGTGCTTTAAATAATTATAAGGGTGAACAAAGAAATTGCCTGGCGCAAGATTTGAGCCTGCGGCTTCCGGAACACCGTACCGGTTCTCTACCAATTGAGCTATGTTGTATAGTGTACTATTTACGACAAACATTTCTCTCTGTTTTTAGCCTCCCTCCAGGCGACGCGATCAGACGACGTGACGGCACGGCTGCTCCCTTGCGTCGTGCCGTCGGGTCGCACCGTCACCTTCATGCGTCGCGTCGTGCCGTCGCCCGTCGCGTCGTACTGCCTTAGGTCCTTTCCATGTATTTTTTGTCGCCTAAACGTCCCCCTTCCGTCGCTCGTCGCGTCGTACCATCGTGCGTCGTGTCATGCGTCGCGTCGTGCTTCAGGCGACGTAATAGGCGACGCGGTGCACGACACGACGCGACGGGTGACGGAAGGGGCGACGTTTAGGCGGAAAAAATGCAACAGGGAAAATACCTGAGACAGCACGACGCGGCGGGCGACGACGCGACACGTCGCGTGTGTACAAACATAATGGCAAGAAGGCGACGGTGCGACCCGACGGCACTACGCAAGGGAGCAGTCGTGCCGTCGCATCGTCTGATTGCGTCGCCTGGAGGGAAGCTAAAGAGAGAGAGAAATGTTTGTCGTAAATAGTACCGTGACGCCATAATGTTGGTGGTTCTTCCCATTTGTCAATATCTTTGTTCGAGGGGTGCTAGCCAGAAACAATTAAACCTGAAACACATGTAGCCAGGGATCACGCCCTAATAACATACACGATACAACATGGGAAGTGGTGAACAGGGATCACTCGAAGAGGATACATTTTTCGAGCATAAATCATGAAACAAATTATATAGGGAAACTGATTTTTTTTCTTTAACCTCACAATTTAGTCGGAGGCCGTGGAAGAAAGTTCATAAATTCAGTATTTAAAAATCTCGTTTCAATTTATCAACCAGCAAACACTTTCAACATGTTTCCATTCAGATACGTTTCGTGGGCATGTTTCCTGATTTGTATGTGCACATGTCAAAGAGGAGTTTCTATGAAGGGAAAGCAGGAAGTATACGGGATGTTTAAACGATTACCTTTTGGCTATCTTTAGCATATGCTTCCTGATTTGTATCTGCATACATGTAGAGATAGGCGTCCAGGTGGATTGTTAGAACGACAGCGTTGCTTTATTTCTATGTCTGTTAACATTTAATTTGGAATGGTTAGAATTGCAGACAGAAATAAAGGCAACTGAATTGTTCCTGTCGACACGATTTAAACAACATCCCGATATCAACTGAATTTCTGACAGCCTTTTACAAATAACAGTATTATGACAAACAATTTCAAGTCAAGATATAATGGTTATGTTGCAGGTGTATCCTGAAAGACAAAATATTGTGAAAGAAAGAAGCGTAACATCCATTCAAATTATGTTTTCTTGTCAATAACATATTTCCAGTTAAGTGCTTCAAAGTTTTGACTGCATTATTTTATATATAGCTGGCGTACTCAACTTCCTCTGAAAGAAACAGAAAAAATAATCTCCTTTACCTCCTATCAAGGAGAACATTCAATTAATGCGGATGCCAAGTTGTTTCTACAACAGTGTTAAATTGCTATGAAGCATTTTCTCGTTCAGCGAGGAATCCTTGAGCTTTAATTACGCCACGGCTGTAACTACTCACTTGAGTATAATCTAAGTGCATACCGAATCCATTACAGTACAACGGAGCTCCCATTAAATATTGGTCTATGCAAAGCACATCCCTCACCAGGGGAGGCGTTACGATGCTTGGAAGTGAGGTAAAGCACGGATCGTCGCCTTTGATACTGAAACCCATACTGAAACTAATACAAGAAGCTAAAAATATCGAAAGTAATCGCTAAGCCAACCAGTCACACACTTACCTACAAATGAAAACCAACAGCTTTTTACAAATGTAATTGGCATTTTGAAAACTACAAATTTGGCGTAGGACATTAAACCCCCATTCAACACCTATAGCTTGGTTTTCAATGTTGCTGTATACCTGTTGCATTTGAATTAAATATGATTTAAACAAAACTTGGCCAAAATGTTTACATCGATTTGTGACATTTGTTATCCATAGGTTTTTAGATTATGGGCGCAAGGATTGATAGTTGCCTTCGTGTTTAAAAAATCATTCACAGAAATGTTAATGATTGTCAAAAAGGCACATGAAAAGAACTGACTATAAGAACAAGTCTTTACAGTTAGGGACGGGAACTAAACATGCGTTGTCAGAGAAACAGTTTAATTTTTCCATAACATCGAAATAGAAGGCTGGTCAGATGGAAGATACTGAGCAAACACGTTCATCACCAAACATTACATGTACACCCCTAACTTTTTACTGTTTGTGGTTCGGGCTAACATCGGAACAATTTTGTGTTGTTGGCGACCAAAACATCATTAGCCCTATTGGTAAAGATCGCTCCGTGACGGCTGTGACGAGAACTATCAGGATCGTCACAGCTGTCAGATATTTGTCGTAAGATCGCTAAGCATCACACAGTCACAATTATCACTGTTGTGTCGGGACTGTCATAACCACGACAACCGTTGTTACGATTTCTGAGATTTGTCTGGGAATGACAAGCGTTACTATCTGCACCGAGGTGCCTGGCTAATACCATGTCAACTCACACACACTCACGCACATGGTGGTGTTCCTCGCTACACAGTAGCCCCATGAGCCCTCTGAGAAGAGATATCCTGAACTCGTTAACCCCATCACTGTATTCCATGAGGACTTTAGTACGATCAAGTTCGGTGAACGCTGCATCATTACCCGACACGCCTCATCTCTATCAAAACATGCGATAGAAACCAAACTATAGTCATGGTTGTAATTATCTTCAGCAAGTATTATAGTAAGACTAAATTTGAATTCCAGGTGACTCGAAACTTTAAAGTGAAAGCTTTCTCTTTACAGCATAAACGTATGTAGTATCTACTTTTTCATCAC